CCAGATTCTAATAGTCAAGTCTCTTGTCTCCGATGGCCAGCTTGTTTTCCAGCAGTAGCACCAGGTTGAACTATATCAGTTAAGAATTGTGTCCACATTAGGGACTAGGACTGAAACTGATTTAACTGCTTGTACAGTCCACAGTGGCAAGTCACAGAATGATCATGAGCTGGGCAATGTGTGTACCTTTGACTTTGTACCGTTTTAATCGGAACAGCTGAAAACAGATTTGTGTGCAACCCTCGTTTTCAAAGAAGGCTTAAAAGAATCCGAGTTTGGCACACAATCTAGTTAATCTACCATCATAACTAATGATTTCACCATTCAGACATAAAGTATCGACCTTAAAGGATTTTTCTTACATAGCTGATGACTTGATACCTTTTAAACACTAATGCCGAGGGTATAATCTCTCTGAATAGTGTAATAGCTTTATATTTAAGGTAGATTGGGGATAAAATTTTGTGTTTTCATGTGAACTATGAATACTAGTAAGGTATTCAGGCAGGAATTACCTTATCATACCTTTGAGGGCACTTATCAAATAATTTTTATTGGAAAGTTAATACATTGAGACAGAGTGAATGGAAAGCTGATCAGAATGCTAAGGCATATCCCAGCATTGCATTGCTTTTGCTGTCTGCAGATATGCGGCATGGGTTGATTCATTTAGCACATCATCTAAAATCATGTAGCGTTCAGTACCGATTAAAATTATATGAAATTGTGTGTAAGAGATTTCTCCATGTTAGCTTTGAAGGATCCTCTATTCCTTGCAGAAGTAGTTGTGATAGGCACAGCACAACTCCACTGACTGCAGGTGTTACGCTTCGTAGGCACCAATACTGCACCAGTAGCCAGAGGAGTTGCTTAGGATTTAATTTCACGCTTGTGTATCTGAGTGTAAGATTGGTCCCCTTCTCTTTTAATCGTGTATCTGCAAGTCTCAGACCATATATTATGGTGTTCATTAGTCCTCTGCCATCAGCACTGGCATGATGTATCAAATGAAACCTTGCAGGGCAAGGGCTTCTGCTGTCCCTTCTTTTCTTCTCTGCCTCCTGCTCTGTGTGTGCCTGTATTCAATCCCACCCCTCTATTTTGGCTGCTCCATTTTGAGCCTTCCTGGAGCATGTTCCTGCCTCTCCTATTGTCTGGATTTCCACTTCCCCCACTTTTCCAGGGTTCCCAGAAGAGAGGAGCCTCCCCATATTTGCTCCGTGCCGGACCAGCCCGTCTAATTGCTGGCTTTTCTCCAGCATCCAATTCAGCAGGAGTGGAGCAGGAAACCACTTGGCTGCTCTCTGTTCTTGAACTGTTAACTGTCTCCCAGCTGAAAAAGACTTGTGGAAACCTGTAGCGATTGATGTTAATACAACTTTCTTAAATATTTTCCCCAAAACTTGTTTGGGCATTAGAAACACGGGCAGATGTCAGTTGAGTTTGAGTCACTTATTTGCATGTATAGCTTCTGAAACCATGGAATTGGAGCATTTCACAAAAATGAATAAATGTACTCTAATAGCTGGAGCTCAACAAAATATTTTAGCTGTATGTATTTTCAGTGAAAGAAGCAGATTCAGCAACACTGAAATAGATGCCTGTTAAATTTTCACTGGTGGTGTCAAGTTGTTTTGGTTGGAAGGTACATGCCCAGCCCACCCCAAAATCTAGAAGAAGTAACGATTCTGCCTGAAACATAAGATCGTTTTGATATATGAAGCACTTTCTTTTTTGAAATGACTTGAATGCTTTGGTTCTTCCAAACTTTTATCTGAAAAGCAACTGTATGCTCTGTTCTGTACCTTCCACCTCTTCAGTAGGAGAGAGTCCATTGACCCCAGTTGACAGCGCAGAACAAAAGCACCATGAGATTGACTCTGTGGTTTCCTGATGACTTTACCAGTATGAGATACTGCCAACAATAGCTATTTGTTCCCACAGTGTTTTCTTGAAGTGTTTGTGTGGCCCCATGCAGAAATTTGCCATAGTGTGAACCGGCTGGGGAACTGTGCCAGTTTGATAGAGACAGACCATTACCTTTCCAGTTCACAGCGTGGCCGAAGATCTTGACCTATCATCCTTTTCCCAGAGTTTCTGCAGCTATCCAGTAAAAGTATATCTTCTCTAAATTGCTAATGACTACTGAACTACTGCACGTTTGTAAGGGGACTATTGACATTAATGTTGGGCTGCCTAACAGTGATGTAGGATTTTATTTAGAACAGGATGTTCCAATTTGTTTCTTTTTTCAGTCCTACAGAAGATATTTAGCAGTATAACCAGCAAGTTCCTTCCCACAGTTCTCTTGACAAATACTTGAGCTCCCCTCTTGGTTAGTAACATCCGTTTTGGTGGAAATAAATCTGCGTACAGCATGGCTTTTCACCATTTATAAGTATAGATAAATGTACAAATCCATTAAGTGACTATGCAGAAAACTAAAACTGTCTATTTTCACAAGAATGTCAGGTTTTTAATTGCATAAATAAGATCCTGACTAAAGCAAATGTTCAATTTCACATTAAAGTTAGGCATTCATAAAGGCTTGGATTTGCATAATTTAATTTTCTGCACAGAGGATACTGAAAATCAATGGTATGATTCATAGCCATACCATGGTTGCCGTGTGGCTTTTTGACGGTTCCAGCTAGGAGTACAAAGGGTTTTACAACTTCAGATGTTTTGCACTGACTCGGAGCCTTTTTACCTTCAACAAATATAGATTATTTAGACATAGTTTCTTTCTTCCGATGGTAAGGCACGAAGAAGGGCTTACTAAGCAGATACCTGCAGGACTACCTTACTCCTTGGAGGAGGCAGGGTGAAATCTTCTTTCTGCCTGCAAGAATCAATTTTTCTGGGTGACAAAACCCCCACAACTATTTGCCTCCTCTATGTAGAGGATGCTTGTAAGAAAACTGCTGTTGTCTTTCATTTTGTAATAAGGAGGGGCTTCAGGTGTATTTCTCAGCACATGTGCTAAGTGAATAACTGGGCCATTTTTTTCTGATAACCTTTCCGGCCATCCACCTAGGTTATTTCTATGTTCTCTTCTTTGGGATTTTCATGGTCTCTGATCTTTGCTCAGTTTTTTTGGTTGTTTTGTTTGGGGGTTTTGGGGGGTTTTGGCTTCCCCCCCCCCCCCCCCCCCAAGAGGGTTTGGGTCTCCACATCCCTTACCTGTTCTTTCCTGTTGAAATGACTGCCTGTTGCCTCCCAACCACTTAGACCTGTTAGGGTAAATCAGAAGAGGAAAATAAGGTATGTGATACAGTGTTGCCTACAAATCCTGGTAGCATGGTGTGTTCCAGGGTTTCTAGTTCACAGCCTGGAGTGAAATAGCATTTAGAAATTTGCCAAGAAATCTGCAAAACTCATTCAAATTAGAGGCTCATAATAAATTGCACAATTAGTACCTTTGCTCGCACAAGAAAAAATTTGGTAGGGCCAAACCTGTAATGCCTTTCCTGAGATAGCATGACTTCTCCTACCCCTTCAGGATTCCAAAATCTACAGAAATCCATGATCCACGTTGCAGAGTGAAGGTTGTCTGTAGAGCTGTTTAGCATACCTGGATAGCTCTTGGGCATAGCATGCTCTCTGCTACTGTGGTACAAAGGGGGTGTCACCCAGAAGCTTTTCTAAAGGGAAAGGAGGCCAAATTCTGACTTACTGGTGCTTAATGTTCAATAAAGTCCTGTTACAAGCTTTGTTTCAGCCCGGCTGTAACTGGCCTGGGAATAGAAGGGAATGCAGCGCTTGGTGACTGCATACGGGTAGCAGTGCTTTACATGGTTTGATGAAGTTTTAATTTGAATTATTCAGCTGGTTTCTTACTGATCAAATAAGTGGTTTGCGTTCAGTTGGACTTAAAATTCTATGGAGCCAGTTGGTGCATACTTGGTCTTTACATTCTGTTTCTGTGGATCTAAGGGGTCTTTGTTTGTGTGCATTTATTATAGCACAAAAGTTTTTGGCTGTGGTGCTCTGAGAAGGGTAGTTGACTTATCACTGACATTTGTGAATTCACACACCTCCAGTTTGGTTCGGTCAGATACATAGAAACAATAAGCAAAATTTGCACATAAAAACCCTAAACAACCCATGTCCTTGTGGAAGCTATGCATTCCTTTACAAGAAAAAAAAAGTGCTGTTTGAGGTATAAAAGAAAAATCCTGAGATGCAATGTAGGATGCATTCTGTTCTGTTTTGGTTGATGAAAAATTCCTTCTAGCTTGTGAAGTTTTACAAAGATTTTTTTCATTATTGGCCTCTCCCTTTCATGTCGTAAGGCATTGGTATTGCATGCTGAGTATTTTGTCTGACATACGCAACCTTCCTCTGGCTAGAAGGCAGTGCTACATGTCTGCCTTGCTTGAGTGAATCATATGAGGTGATGTTACTCGAGTCTTGCTTGTGTTGAGACTGTTACCCAGTGCGCTGTGGGCTCAGGTCTGCAGGCTGTACATGGAAGAGATTCATTCGGTCCTGAGTGAAACTGTTCTACATGGGATTTTCAGATGTGGTTTGAAATAGGTGCAATTGTGATAACCAGGATAACACTGGACTGGCATGTTCCACATGCTTGCATCTGTATTCTTTTAAGGATCTTGATAATTTTTGTGTTGAATTATAATTAGTAGTTTTGTAGTCACTAGCAAAGTAAGCTGTCTTTTGGGTCTAGACAGAGAATGTTTGGTCATATGTCATGGCTCATACTTGTTTACTTGTGTATATCAGACTTTCCTTATGGAAATTACTGGAGTTATGCAGGCATGTGCCAGATCAGAATAATGTCATCAGTGAGTCCTGGCTTGTGTGAATCATCTTTTGGATGGTGGGTTTTCATGGGTGAAGAACATGCTTGTTAAATTTTATTTTTTTTTTAAGCGATGCCAAGTTTGTAGTCTCTGCCTAGCAATGATTTAAGCTTCACAGTGTAAACTCCAGGGAGTAAACATCACTATCCTAATGATTCTTGCGTCTTCTCTTCCCAGCTCTGACTGAAGGTTATGTTGGCTCTCTGCATGAAAACAGACATGGTAGTTCTGTGCAGATACGGAGGCGAAAGGCTTCGGGGGATCCTTACTGGGCATACTCGGGTGAGTTGACGACTTTGGAGGACTGGAACATGAAATACCTCCAACATCAAATTGTTTACTTGCTTTTTGTTACTACTATGCTCAGAAATAGTTTAAATTAGTTTTACAATGTATTCTCTTCTGCTGACTTCCTTGCAAACTCCCTCTGCACACATCCTCTCCTTTCTTGCATTCCTGCCATTTACCTGCAGGATTTGCCTTATTACTCTGCTCCTTCTCTCAGTCTTCTTTTAGTTTCTTAACACACCCTTAAAAAGGCATACTTCCACAAACATTTCTTTACTCTCCCTGTTCAAGCCCAAGCTCACCATTTGCTTACCCTGTCAAGCCTTCTAGGAATACTGTAAGCATCCACGTATACATCCAGGTAAAAAAAAAAAAACAAACCTAGGAATTTTACAATTATTTCTTTCTGTGCATGCGGTAGTGTATAATGACGACAAATGAGACCTGTCAGTGCAGCTTCACACCAGGTTGTGTGATGCTGGGAAGGTAGGATATTGGGAGGATATTTTATTTTGTCCCACTGCACTTATAAGTCTTACAGAAAACCTGATGTGTCTGCACAGTTCTGAAATGCCACAAATCAAAATATACTTCAGAATGATGTCTTTGACATATGGTTTGATGGTTTGTTCAGCTCTAGAAAATTCCAGATCTGTATTTGAATTTGTTTAAAAACCCAACAACTTGAAATCATGTTAATAGCTATTGTTGACTCTATGGAAAAATGTCTAATATCTAAAAAGTTTTATAATGAACTTGTGCGTGCTTTTTCGGAAGATCTGAGATGCATTTCAAACATTTGGTGCTTGTCCAAGAGGAATGTTGTGCAGGCCTAGTTTTAGCTAAAGGAAAAATATTACTTTCTAAGAAGTCTGAATACTGATACCAGATAAACAGGCAAATGTTAATTCTTTGACTGCCAACTCCTCTCTTTTATATAGACTGTAAATTTCATTGGAAATGAATGATTATAGGTAAGCTTAGAGTTAATTCCATTAATACACAAAACACCACATGTCAGAAGTTTTCTCTGTTAGATCTCAAAATACAAGCTATCTCATTTGCAAATGAGGTCACGCAAGTAAAATAAATCTAAACATTTTAGTAATGTAGGACAAATGATCACTCTTCTTTGAACTTTGAGATTATCAGATGGACAAATATTGCCACAAGATATACTTCCATATTGCAGCTTAAAATAGCTTTTTTAGTTTTTAACCCCGCAAACTTACGAAGAGTAGAAATAAGCAAATAAAGGAAAAAATTGTCTGTTGGAATGAATGGCCTGTTCCTATCTGCTGTCTTGTGTAAAATATTGCAAGTTAAGTGTCACTTGGCAGGTTTATTTTGTTTCTGTTACTGAAAAATACATTTGGAATATTCATTGCAGATGGTTAAATGAAAATGTTTTTAAAAAAGTAGAACACTAGTGGAATTATTCTGTTGTCATATGTGTCAAAACTCTTTGCTTGAGTTGCTGGACTTTTTTTTTTTTAACCTGTCCTGGTTTAAAAAAAAAAGGGGGGGGGGGCATGAGGGGAAAGGACACCACCTGCCACCCCCCAAAAAACCCACCCCAAAACCCAACCAAACCCAAACCCAGAAAATCCCCAAACAAACAAAGCAACAAAAAATCACAAACCTACCACACACCAGTTTATGCATAGACAGTTTTCCTAATTCTATTTTTGTGATGGTGGTGTTCTTCCTTTATGAGTAATATCACTCGTTCACCCCTCCAAAAAAGCTTTTACCACCCACGAATCCTTTTAGATTTATGTCAAAATAAAATGTATAGTCCTGATGTGTAATTATACCTTACCTTTTGGGGCCTTGCATCCTTTTGTCTGTTGATAAATCTCCTGCTTTTATGAGGAAAATAGCCAATCTGTTTTCAGAGAACAGATAGTGACTTCTCAGCTGTCAATCACATGCCATTCTACCTGATTAGTGCTATCTAATTAGAACCTTTTTGTCACTATTGCTGATAAAAGGAGTAAATTAGGAGATGGAAAAGGTGGGAATGATATATTTACCAGCACTTGTCAAGAAACCAGAAGAGAGGATATAATATCGTTTTCTCAGGATGCTTTGTCAGGCTACTGTTTGAACAGTGACTTGAAATGCCATTCCAGGAGTATGTGGTTTGGGACTGAGTGTTCCAGCTGCAAAAACGTGGGTCTTTGCCAAAGGTTTAGTGGCACGAAATACAGGTGTGAGCAAACAACCGAGGTACTGTGTGCCCTGGCTGGATGGGTCGCGCATATACTGCATCTGAGCAAGCCCATCCTGGACGTGGATGGAGATCTGGTGTCCTCCTGAGCCACGTTGCGGTCTCTGCCTGCAAGGGAGGAGCGGCTCTGTCCTGCCGAACCAGCCCCACATGGAGTTCCTGGGAGCAGGAGGGGCAGGGCCACGGGCTAAATGCGAATGCCGAGTTGCAGGCAACGATTTGGGTTGTGTCTGAGAGGGGAAAATGCAAAAGCATGTAGAGACTTGGGAGACATGGGTATTTCTAAAGGAATTTTCCAGGGTTGATGCTATGTCCTGCAGGAGTCCCAGTATTGCCAGCATCTCCCTGAGAAAGGGAGGAAGTTAAGATGAGCAATTAGGTGGGGAAAGCTAGCAATTGGGTGTTTCTACAGGCTGCTGCTTTGTCATGGCTTTTTATATGTAGGAGTTTCTCTCTCTTTCCTCCCCTCATTCAGTTCCTTCCAGCTCCATGCAGGATTTTCAGGCAGTCCAGCCTCTCTTATCTGATGTCTTTTGTCCATATTTGCTCACCGAGGGGACCGGAGGTAATGAAAATGCCTAGCTTCTGTGTTTAGGTTGAAGATGGGAATAAATGGTGGATGGCAGAGCCCAGATGCCAGACAGATGTTTGTTTCTAGCTGAGCACAGTGAGGAGGATGATCATGTTACCTGTTTCTTTCTCCTTGCTTCCTCATTCCCCAGAATATTTCCCAGGAACCCTGAGCAGGGCTTGGCTAAGCAGTTTATGTACTGACAACATTTGTCCTGCTGCTAGGGTTTTGGACATGACTAGGAAGTTTACATCAAATGAGCCTACAGAGGTTGGAAACTTTACTCTGCAGTAAGCAATTAGCCTGTGTCAGTGGTTTCCAAGCTCTTTTACAGACATTATCCGGTAGGCTGCTTCCCTTCCCTATCCTCAAATGGTTAGGCCAGCTCCCCTACGGTTAGTTGTACAACATCTGCTGGGCCAGCCCCAGCAATTATGGGCAGGGAAGAAAGTTATGCTAGACTGTGCGCTGGTGAATCTGAAGTTTATTCTAAGGGAATTTGCCAACTAGAGCAAATAAGGTGAGGACAACTTCTGCCAGCCATCAGTGGACAGCCAGCTGTTGAACCCCAACATTGACCAGAGCACCCATGTCTCTGCTGGGGCTACATTAGGCTTTGTATTGATTTCAGCTGAGCTGTACTGATTTATAGCAGCAGAGGCCTCTCTATGTTTATGGCTGTGCCTGCCTGCTTGCAGAGCTTCTGTATTTTTGGGCTTAATAAAACCAGTTGTGTTTTTCCTCCCTGGGGGTAGAAAAAGGGCACAGCCGTTTTGTAGAAAGCCCTCAAGTCTTTATCTTCCACAGGATACATCTGTCCTATACTATGCTTTTAGAGTAATTCCTCTGTACCCTGTAGCAAACCCTTCTGCTGCTCCATGCTCTTGTGGAGGGTGAACTGTCCAGGAGCTGGTTTAAACTCTGGAGATCTGGAATTTTCCTGGTTTTATGAGTGATCTATAGCATTACCATGTCCTGGCTGGTAATATTGCTCCTCTCAGGCACAAGAGTTTAGAGATGATAAACTTGAATTATTGATCAGGAGTCAGACAGCCCTCAGGTCTGTAACATTTGTGTAAGGCACCTACGCACCTAAATGTCCCTGCGACAGGACCCTGTGAACTTCCATGCCCTGTGCTCGTACTGCATGTGCCCTGGACAAAGCCGCGGAGCCTGTACCACAGAGCTCTCGCTTCACTGATTGTCAAGGAAAGGATTTTTAAGCCTTATGAAATAAGCCTGTTGTCTACAGGCACAATTCGGACTATAACATTTATTCCAGTTCAGAAATAAAACTTGCAAAAATAAAGACTGGATAATTAAATGAAGAAGGCCCATTTTAAATGGGTTCTGTCAATAAGACAGAAGGAAACACAATCAGCCTTTCAGAAGAAACTTCGTTAAGTCTATGCTAGCAGCTCTTTAAACCAAATTCAGAAGTGAGCAAACACGGAAAACAGAAGACTAACTTATCTTTAAATAGGAACTGCAAAACTGAACAGAGACTGTGATCTCCTAGATGTTCTTTTTAGGATTTTTCAGGAAGCTCAAACTACATTTCTAGGGAGATTTCTCTGTGCGTGTGTATTTGTGTATGTTTTGGCAAAGTATTTATTCCATGATCGTGTCTTACGGTTTGCCAAAGACTTCCTAAACTGCGACTGGCTACATTATTTGCAGTGTAACAGGAATGTGGAATAGGCGCAGCACAGTCAAGGCAAGAAGTAGGTGTGGATCCTGAGTGTATGTGCTTCAGTGCAGCCTTTTCTTTCCATAATAATCTTTTCTCTTAGGCTAATGACTGAATGGACAAGTTTGAAATGATTTTCAGCACATCCTTATAATTGCCACAGAACTCAGTATGTTAATAATACCCATAATAGTGACAGATAGTAGTTCAGATGCCTTGTCATCAGTATGGAAATATTTTGGTAAATATATAAGCTGCTTTTAAAAAAAAACAACAAAAAAAACTTGAAAAGAAATCCTACAGAAATATGCAACTGAAATGTCTACCAGATCCAGGGCTTTTTGACTGGCCCTCCCTTGTGTAATGTATGCTACTTCACAAAGCATAATATTCCAGACATGTAGAGATGCCTCTCAGTGTCAAGTGTTGCATCTGCCGGTGCTGAGAACTCTTTGTTGGTGACCTGAGCAGACCCTGTTTTGCCCTCCAGTAGCCCAAAA